CTCGTCCACTACAATAGGGAACCCAACGATTTCAGACACTTTCTCCCAATGTCGTAATTTCATACCAGGATTTCCTAAAGTTTGAATAATTGGCATATGCGTTTTGAAGTCGTCCATTTTCTCCCTAAAAGTGAAACGATATTAGTTTATTAAATTCCTAACAAGTAAATTACACAAAATTTAATACTAAAGTATTTCAAATTAAAACTACCTAACGGAGACAGCTAGTTGATGAGTATCGGGAACATCTTGGAAAGATTTTTCAAGTTTGTATACAATTTTGTAATAGTAACTGACATCGCCTTCTATTTCTTCAGGATCGAAACTACCCACCTGAATAAAAATAAGTTTAAACATCATAAAACATGTAATTCAATAAATAAAATGAAACGTAAGAAAATTATTAAATTATAAATACCTTGGATTGCATCCAATTAGAATATTTTTGAAGAAAATCGTATCCTGCGTCAAATAATTTCTTGAAAGGAACCAATCGATCGTAGACAGCTTTTCTCTTTGGGTATTGCGACAATTCCCAGCCGAAGGAAGTTTCCTCTTCATTAAATTGATCTATTTTAATCAGTGCATTAGACAACCTGAAAAAAAAGTAAACGGATAATGGATTTAAGTATTTTTCATATTTTATTTATTAAAATAAATGTTCATTTCATAAAACATAATTTATGAAAAGTAATCAGAATTCTGATTCGGTTTGAAAAATCTTTCTCCGAATACGAACACAAAATTTAATTGAAAACCATTGATACTTTCCACGATATTCCACAAAAGCATAGTTAAACAAATCTATTAAATGTATTTTATATTACAGACAAATTCACTGAAGAAAATAATTCTCAAATATTAGTTATTTACTACGTGGTAAAGGTGTGGCAAATCTACTCAAAACTTCTGAATTGTACTGTATAATTTTTTTTCTTGTCCTGTTGTTTTTTTACCCAAATAAATAAAAAAAAATATAGTCCATTCTTATAATTCTGTAAATAAAACAACTGAATAAACTAGAAATTAAAAAGACTCACTTTTCATCAAGACGGTGCGCGCGCGACACATACTTGGGCAGTTCATTGATATCTCCCCAGTACTGCACCTCATTACACTGCAGTTCATACATATCCAGATCTTCGATAAATTTGGCGATCCGAACCTGACGAATATTATATTCACATTACGGTCTGAATACTGTAAGTTATTTTTAAAAATCAAAACCTACCTTTAAGAGGTCCTGATACTCAATCTTCTTTTGATCGCATATTGCTTTGCTCTCTTCTATAACACCAGGCATACGAGCGTACCTAGATTTTCGTAAAAATAAGATTAAACACTTTTCTAAAGAATTTAAAAATCAACCTAAAGTTCCTGTGACTATCAGGTTAAAGATTAACATTTCATTATGTTATTTAATGGACAAGGTATCTGAGTAATAATTTCTCATTTCCATAATATTGAGTTCATGATTACCAGTGAAATGTCTGGTTGTTGGCCTTGATCTCTAGCGGTGTAAATGACGTGTAGTCTCCGAGGAAGATGATGTATTTCATGACATTGCGTAGCTTGTCCTCCATCTCGTCGAGCACCGTCTCCTCCACCTTTTTATAGTACGCGATGAGGTCCATCAGCGCGGCCGTGTCTGGCGGCGGAGTCAGCAGAGTGGTCGCGATGTGGGAGTATTCGTCATAGATGCTAAATGGAAAGAAACTCTACTAAGATGTGTTTACTTTTTCATTACTTTACTCGTATTTCTATTTCATGTGAAGAGCAATTTGATTTGAACTTGTTACTTTTTTTTTATTTTACTTATTTATAAGTAGCTTAATTTTAATACAAAAATATAAAATTTCGCCAAATGCCATTCGGCAGTCCGGCATTCAATCTAACATTACGTACTTTTTGACCATGATCTGGTAATCATCAGTCATCTTCCTCAGCACCATGTTGGCGAGCCTGGTGGCGGAGCTGCGCAGCGAGCTGATGAGGTCTCCGCGCTGCATCATGAACATGCCAATAACGATGGTGCCCTCCAGCTTGGACGGTATCTCTCGAGCCAGCTCCACGTACTTGATGGACTCCTCGCAGAACTCCTCGAATGTCTTCTCCGGGTCAGCGTTGATAAAAGCTTCGACCTCATCCAGTGACTGTAGAGTAATAGATTATATGAAGAGGATTGAAAAAAGGCATGTGTGATAGTTGATGAGCCTATCGTCATTATGTAGACTCAATCGAAAATTGGCATGTAAATTACCTCCCCATTAAGTAGACAAACGTAATTATCAAAGTCTTGAATCCTCAGCTCGGGTCCGATCCGCTGCTCGTCAATTAAATCGGCAATACTCTTTTTGTACTTCTCAACTAACTCACTGTCTATCATTGGCTGTAATTAGAATTATGTTAATGCATTACAACAATGTTAAAAAGTAATAAAGACTGGCTAAGTCATAACAGTTATTTACAGCTCCTTAAAGAAATTGCTATAAGAGGTTTACGAAACATCGTAAAAAATGTATGTTTTATAAAATTCATTATTACTTTCAGCGTTGAACGCGAGGTAACATCGAAATCCTGGTACAAAATAGTCTCCAAGCGCGGCGTCTGTCGACAGGCGTCTATCAAGAAGTCATACAAAAGGCACAGCTGTTCACGAAACTGTTTAAATGATGGCTCGAAACCGATTGCATCGTTTTGAAAAGACAGATTAATTATGAAACCTTGGTTCATTCCCTGAAACAATGCAACAGTTTATTATACCACGAACTAATAGACAACTGGAGTTACAAAAATAATATATTACCCCAACGTCCATAATGTATTCAGTGTACTCTTTCATTGATTTCAAACACAACGTCTGCAAATTGAAGGTCATAATGGAGGCGAGACAGTTGTAAAACCGCTTCACCCTCGCCGCTTGCTTCACATCCGGTATCTGTTTCTTCTTGCTTCCCTACAAACAAATTGTAAAACAATTGACATCTAGTAAATCTAACCAGTTTTCAACAGCCTCGTATAGTCAATTAGGGAACACCTTGAGTTGTTGATGAACAAGCAAAGATATTGAGCAAAAAATACCAAACACGCAACTAAGCTAATGTTTTTTTGTTTGTTTTTTTTAGCAAACGTGTCTATAAAAGTAATCCAACCTGAAGGAAGACAGCCTGCACGGTGGGAATCCACTGCAGCGTCAGCACGTTGCCCGCCGCGTCAATGTGCCGCTTACACACGAAGCTGAAGTCCTGCAGCTCGTACGCCTCGTGCGTCATCATTATATCCTTCATGCTGATCAGTCGAAGGTCACTGGAATTATAGAAACAATACTAATACTATTAACATAGCTTCAACGATTTATCATAAAACTAGACTTTTTTACATTAGGTTTTGAGTGTTGTGTTTTCACGATTAGGAGAAAAGATATTTCTCTTTCCGATCTTCTTTAATTCATTAAGTCATGCTTAGTTAACCAAGTTCCGTTCAAACTTTGATCACTACTTTACTTACTTGAACTGTTTCCACCATATTTGTAGGACTTGTGCTATGCATGGATTCACAGTGTGCAGATTTCTCGTATTATACTTTTGTGCTAAGATGTACCTATTTCTCCAGGCGTCATCTTTCTTAGCTAATTCTTGCATTAACGGCGTTTCTTCTTCTTGCAACGATTCTTCCTTTAATTTTAATTTAATTATAATAATAACATAAAACAGTTTAAAGATTTAGCACCGATAGAAAGCATTGAAGCTACTCATTTTTGTTAAACGAAGCTGAGATATTACGTATTTACCGTGCTCGGATCTTTCAGTACAAAATCAACGATTGCTTTCTTCATACTCATCATGAAATCTTCTCTCATTTCGTCAGTACTGGTAAATAAAGTCTCCTTCCACTTTTTTAGTTTTAAAGGTATAAGGGTGTGCACGCTGTAAACAGAATCGAACTTTGTATTCTGTGTCCGAGCTTCAAAGTATGACTTGTAGCAATGGGTTTAATTCTTTTTGATTCAATAATAGCAATATTCTTATAAAAAAAACTTTGAACCCTTGACCACATGAACGGTAGGTCGTGCCCTAAACCTATACGCCATTGGTGCTACAAATTTCATACTAGCTACATAATTGGAGATTTTATAAGATTTTTAGAATTTCAGTAGGATTTCTAAAATGTTTACCGTAATATTATTTTATTATCCAATGGAGCAACGTGAATTGTGTCTATACCGTATCGTATATAGTAATAGTAACGGAGCATATTCTTCTCGTCCCCGGAAGGAATGGCGTCGCTGTCCTCCCCGGGGGCGGACTGACAAATGAGCTTCATTAGTTTAGCACGGAACTCCTCTCTGGCCTTCCTCATCGCTGTAAAGCTTTGCATAACTGAATTACAAAAAAAAAAGTTTCTTTAGTAACTTCCAGTAAACATTACAAAAGATTCTTTACAAGTCTTTGCAAAATGCCAGTTTAAAATGTTGATGATATTCAATTTCAAATTTGATGATCAACAAAGATGATGATAATGATGGATACAAAGACTTCAAAGGATTCGCAGCGTTTCTTATAACTTCCTTACAGAAATATAATTACCACTGGATCTTTTTCGAGGCCCCGATGCTCCTTTAGTTCGAGCTTTAGATGTTTTAGGTGGTGGAGGTAATTTAAGAATTTCTTCTGGTAGTGAAAAAAGGGGACGTGTTCTAATTTTGAAATCTTCAGGCATTGTTGCTTTGGGTATTTTAGGTAGCTTGATTTCAGATGATGATGCTTTGGGTAGTTCCTTAGTACGTTTTTGTTTTCGACTTTGCATTGTGAACTGTAAAAAATTACAAGGTAAATGGTTGATCCTACTATCTTTAAATTGTATCTTAATTTTAGTAATATATAATGCAATGCAAGGGACACTTTTTCCTTATTTTTTACTTCTTTGTATAAAGTCGCAGTTTAAATCGTCATTTATAGTTTTTAAACGCAATCTCATATGTCATAATCGACAGACTTTTGTTTGACGTTTGACAGTTAAAAAACTCAAGTTTTAACCTTTCTTTAGTATTTTAAACTACTATATTCATTAGAAATATATTTTTAACATTAATTAAACATAAACCCTTTACAAGGAGCTAACCAAAGTAGGTATTATTTAAACTTACCAGTTTTATAAGGCAGTGAAATAAATACGATGACCTTAACTTATTACGTGCTATATGTTATGAAATTATATCGTAAATATATTTCTACATAAAAAACATAAAGAAAATTATTATTAGTATTATTAAAGCTACTCTCACGCTAAGTAAATGTAGTGAATTATACATGTAATTAATTGTTGATGTATCCATGGTGACTTATCAATGTGTTCAAAAAACTGTTGGCAACCAATAAATTATTTCTTCTTTTTTATTTTTAAATGGTGTTCTAATAAAACCTTTTTGAATTAAAAAACAAAACATTGGTACAGTGATGGCACAGTGAGTTTTTTTAGTTTAACTGTGATTTAATAATTTTACAGATGAAACAAAAAGTTAAATGTTACTCAAAGGTAACTTACTTATTAAACTTAAGCTACATGCATGTATACAGCATTAAATTTAGCCAGCGACTAAACAGTACACACCATTGTGCAAACACAGCTGATTTAGCCTTGAAAATATTTAATAGGACTAGCTTATGATGTCATACTCTATGATGAATTGATTCATACAGTTTAAGCAAATCTGTGTTAAAAATTATGTGTGTTCTATCTCAATTATGCTTTTTAATTAACTGACATCATTTTGTGTGAGATTCATGTAATACTAAAACATTTACTGATGAATACAAACAGTGTACAGTAATTCATAAAATGATTTAAGATATTAGTAAATAATATATTGTATAACATTAATTTCAGATGATTTTCCAGTTGGTGAGGAGTCTACACACAGGTCCTGTCTGCCGTGCTGCGGAATCCTCCCTTTTGGCTAAATTAAGAAAGAAAACAGGTTATACCATTGCTAACTGTAAAAAGGCTCTTGAAATGCATAACAATGATACTGACAAGGTATGTATAAATTTAAATTATCTAACATTCATCATCATCCTCCTTATTCTAGTCCCGTAGGAGTGGCACAACAGGTTTTTGTCTTCCACATAACTATCATACATCACCTCAGTCATAACTCCCTTCATCATGTCACTTTTCACACAAATCCATCCATTTTTTTCTCTTTCTATCTCTAGATAATTAAACATTTTTACTGTAAAATTGAAATGGCTAATAAGTTTATTTTGACTAGAATATTAAGCAATTTTACCTTAAATTCAGATTATTAGTGACTGTGAAGTGTGTCAAAGAAAATCTGTGAAAATATTTGATAGGTTCTTTTTTACCTTTTAGTTCCGGTAAAGTGGATCAGGGACCTTGGCTATGATGAATCTTTGTTTTTTAATTTACAAAGCTATAGAATTCAAATGATAAGTTTGTTCTCCAGGCTGAAACATGGCTCAATGAGCAGGCTCAGGCTATGGGATGGGCAAAGGCTACAAAGTTAGCAGGCCGCTCTGCCCTCCAAGGCCTGGTAGCTGTGAAGTTTGACAGGAACCATGGTGCGCTTGTCGAGCTGAATTGTGAGACAGATTTTGTCGCTAAGAATGATAAATTCCAAAAGATGATTGAAGATGCTGCACTGGCTTGCTTCAAGTTTGCTCATACTAATATGCAGTCTAAGGGTCCAGTCACAAAGGTAATCAATAATTCGCTGTTTTATTATATTTAAATGAAAATTAGACACAATGGTCACCCTTTAATTGTTTAAATAACCCAAAAAACTTACAGATGGAGTTAGACAGTGAGCAATTGGGAAATTTATCAGCTGAAGGAGGAAAAAAACTGTCAGAAATATTAGCTTTATTTATTGGATCAGTAGGTGAGAATGCAGTGTTGAGGAGAGCCGAGTGTTGGAAAGCTAACAACAGTGATGTTAAAATCGCTGGCTACACTCACCCTGCACCGGCAGTACTTAGTGACTACTCAGCAGGGAAATATGGGGCTCTGTTAGCATACAAACAGGGTAAAGACCATGAAGATATCGGCAAACAACTCTGCCAACATATTGTAGGCTGTGCGCCAACAAAGATTGGTGACAAAGAATTGGATAAACCTTCTAAAAACTCTGATGATGAAACATGTCTCATATACCAAGAGTACTTGTTGGACCCGTCGTACACAGTAGATGAAGTTTTGCAAGAAAATAAAATTGAAGTCATAGATTATGTTAGATTCTCATGCGGAGAAGTTGCAGAAGCGTCTATGCCAGGTGTTGAGAAGCAACCATTAGATACAGTTCAAACTGTTCAGTGAATTACTGAAGTTAACGCAAATGTTAGAAATTATATTATTTTAAAATTATGTTGCATTTAAGATGAATAAAGTTATAAACTATTTATTTAAATTTATTTACACCTAATAAATGACAATTTTATCTATGGGATTCTACATGGATGTAATTTTTCTTTTTAGCTTTTCCTTTCCATAAAAAGGTTCTGCAGTCTTTCTTCCAGAATAGAGCTATTTGGTTAGCTTCGAAGTTGTAACCGTGGTGGTTGAGGACGTCGGGGGAGACGACGTGGAGTGCGAGCGTTGTTTGCTCCCGTGTCCTGAAGGGGCCAGGGACACAAGGCCGCAGTAGACAGCCGCACGGGCACACTGGTGCGATCTTTTGCGACGGCACCACGTTCATTCTGTTACACAAGTTTATCCTCTGGAAGTTCCCACACAGCTTGAATTCCTCCACCGCCCCAGTGAACGATTGTGTCGCTCGAAGCGTTAACGGTCTCGCGTTCTGGTTGTCCGCGGTACTCCTAAAGCCGACCGTCGACAATGATTTCTTAGTGATATTCGTACATTCCTCAAGATTTCTCTCTTCGTATTCGCTTTCTTTATCAGAATTATCTTCTGTAAACATGATCACTTGAAAAAAATAATTTAAACCAAATTCAAAACAATAATTTTATGACATTTGACAACTGCCGTCATTTGTTCCTGCCTTTCTGACGACTGTATCTTTCCTTTGTTTACCTCCTTGTTATTTCATAGATACATATGTAACCTTCTTGGCAAGGTTAAAGAAAAAGGTTTACTGCAGTCGACTATCAATTTACTGAATAGAACCTTACACCTTTCATATCGTAACAGTCAATTACCTGGAGATTTTTTACACGCAAAATGTATGTGACCTTGACCAACAATAGCCGAATTCCACAATGGAACTACCGTCACAAATGCTTACTGACACAGTTTAATTGACAATGATTTGAAGAGGACAAAAGTAAGTTTAACAAATGATTTCTATTAAATTACTCGACCGCATCGAGCATACTGTTATCCAGAAAACTAATTACGTATTTGTACATTCCCGTTACAAAAACATGATTCGATTCGAATTGATATCTCGCGACACTTTTACCAAATTATGGTAACAGGTGCTTAGGTATCTCTAGATAGTACTAAGAACGTGTAAATATGTATTTTGTGCTAATCCTAATTGGCATATCTATGACGAAAGTGCGGTCGCGGTATAAGAGACAAAGGGCGCGTCGGAGCGTGAATCCCGTGACGAGCGAAACCGATGCGAGTGAGATCAGTCTGTGTCCACCTCGCATGTGACCTGGCCAACACCTCTCAGTCACTCGGATTCGAATTCCTAGTCTTAAATCACTCCGAGTTCCCGCAATTACTCAGCTCTGAGATCCCAGTTACTCGGCTGTGAGTTAGTTCCACGAGATTCTGTTCGCCATTCTATAAAAGAGAAAAATAATCAGCTCTTATGGATGATTATCAGGTATGCGTCAACATATTTGAATGACTTTCAACGTTTTATTTGTTAAAATACTTCATAACATATCCAACAGGAGTCGGTTTTAAATTTTAACTTTGTACTTCACAATTATTTTTAAAACAAATCCAGGATATCTTCTGATAATGTCTTTTAGTTAGAAAAATGCCTATCTGTTGATTTTACATTTTTAAGAATTTACACAGACTACAAAAATTACAACACAGAAAATTAATAACATGTTTTCACGTAAATATTTTGACTGCAAATTAACTGTTTACAAATGTACAGGAACTTTATGTTTATGTTGAAGATTAACACTACTTGATTACTTGTCCTGATGTGTTTACCAAAGTTTTAGTCCAAAGTACAGGAGGTTTTTTGTGGCACAGTTTTTCTGGAGTAACTACAGATATTATTGCAACGTTATCTATACTGATATTATAAAGAGGAATGATTTGTATATTTGTATGTATTTAAATAACTCAAAAATTAATGAGCCGATTTCAAAACTTCTTTCACCATTAAAAAACTACGTTATCAGTGAGTAACGTAAGCGATATTTGTTTTTATTTCACGCGGGCGAAGTTACGAGCAACAGCTAGTTTTCTATAATCTTAATATTGAAGTAGGTTGCGCATTTTGAAATTGTACACATAAAACAATGCGCTTGATCGATTATCAATCGTCTTGTTAACTTCGTTGCATTTTAACCGTCATCTACATATGTAAAGACTTAAAGCGTGTGTTAGTAAATAAAGATGTTAATGATCAAAATGATAAGTATTGGTTATTTATTGCGATGTAACCGATAATTAATGGTCTTACGGCAATTCGGAGTTGTCGGAGCCGAGAGATGAAACCGCGATATCGTTGCAGAAACATCTCGCTACTTTCGCGGCGGAATCATTATTATACTTGGTTTTTTAATACACTCAAGTGCAGTCGGCGTGAAACAATTTTCTTTTTCACCGTCGATCGACGGTCGTTGTTTGTTGTTTAGTCTGTGCCGAGTGGTTGACCGATGCGGTCGTGTTTTGTCACGCAACAATAAGTGCGGTGCAAACGAATGGTCCGACTGAACGCGGTGGTGACGGCCCGCGCCGATTCCACCACAGCTCTCCAGATAAACGACACGAAAATGCATATACTAGAGATTGGTGCTGATCAAGTAATTGTTTTTATACATTTTTATTTATATTTGCTTTTACTGTACAGTGCGAAAACAGTAACAACAGTAGAAAGAAAAAAAAAATAAAAGCGATTGTTTTGCGACCATTAAGTTATTTATTGATTTAAAATTAATAGACAAAATTAAATATTTTACGTTGTCACATACTTAGATTATTTCTCCCTTCAACTATAAAATAGAAAGTAAAAAAGTAGGTAGACATGTAAAGTGCAAGCATAGGAAGTTAAATTTTATAGTTAAATTTTTAGTTCCGATAATCTGTACAATCAATCAATCAAATTCCTATTGAATTAGCAACCATCTATGAACCTATGAACCCAAAGGTTTTTATGACTGATGCGCTTGCGCTGCTCTGGAAAAAAATATATTTACTACACCTACAATGTAAACCTATTGAGAATCTGAAGTCTCTATCAATATGCTACGGGGTATTGTTACGTGGTTGTTTTTTTTTTAAATATGTAAAAACAGAGTATGCCAGTATTTTTTTCAAATGTTTTCAGCTAACCTAGCTGTTTATACGAAATGCGAAACTTATTAACTGAAACAGTGATTTAACAAATTATTCTGACTACGAAATAGTAAGATTTTAGTGAGGATCTGGTTGTTCACAAACTGGTGGTGAAAAAACTTCTTCTAGAAGAAGAAATAACAAGTATTTTGTGTGTATCTATAGTGGCTAGTCTGAATAGGTCGTATTGGCATCGCTAACAAGTAAGACATCGTTCGCTCCGCATTATTCTCAGCTGTGACCGACTACCGTTACATCGACCTGATTGTTTTTAATTTATTAAGATCACAATCAGCCACATTCGCTACTAATGTTAAGAAATATTATATTTCCTTACAAAGTTAGACACGTACATTTGTTTGAGATGTTTTTTATTTAATACCAGATTTCTAAAAATTTTCTAATATATTTTTAACCATTCAAGGTACGCTTGATAAAGTTTGTGCTAGGACTTGGTTCATAACAATAAAGGAGTGGCGGGATTCAAACCCTCTACCTCAAAATCGTCAGTCCGTATCCCAAACCATTAGACTATTGGCGCATCAAATTGTAAAAGGAAATAATTTAATATCTGCATATATAAAGTGTTTGTCGAACTTCACACACCCTTTTCGTATCAAAATAAATACGATTACATAACTATTTGTGTTTTTAAACTTCTTGTACAATAGTCTTTAATCAAGGTTATATGACTATTCCCTAGTTAAATCTTTATCCGGCCTTTATTTGGCCGCTCCCACTAAGGTGTAGTAGCATTGTTATGCCTAGACTTTGTGATCGGGTCGTAATTTTAACCTTTTGTACGATCACGAAATAGATGGGATTGGTTTTGTTCTATAAATCGACAAAGGTTAACTCCAACTTAGTTTCTACAAAGTTTTCATATCGTTATGTCACTAACGGAATGCTAATTCCGTCTGTTTGTACATTGCCTAGGCCTAGGCGAATGGCAAACTGTCAGTAATTTATGTAGATGAATTAAGATTATTAATATTTTGATGTATATTATACTGACGAAATTAAAAATGAAATATTTCATCGATCGCAAGTTATTATAATTGTGTTTTTAAAATGTGTAGAAAAGTGTTAAATTATTAACATTATAGGATATAGACGTAATATGTAGATGAGATCTAAACTGTTTACTAATATTTGATACTATCAATAACTCTTTTTACATCTGTTTCCACTTAGATTAAAGTTTCTAACACACGTCCAGGTGCTAAGTGTTCTGCTAAACTGTTATGTCATAATGTTGTATAATTCAATTTGTAACACGGCAGGATGACGATGGCACTGCTCGCGCCGCCGATGCTGTGTTTCGGACCGTACCTCGCGATCACACCACCTTCCTTGTCTGGAAAATCACGGTAAGTTCCGTTTAATTTTAAACAACGCAGTCGTATAAACATTTTATGTTATGAGGAAGGATGAATCGCATGTTACAAGGAGAACATTAGTTATGAGTGTAGTACACCGGTAGAGGTAGACCTAGAAAGAGATGGATGGATTGCGTAAAAGGTGACATGATCAAAAAGGGAGTGATGACTGAGATGACGTATGATAGTTATGTGGAGGACGAAAACCTGTTGCGCTACTAAGATAGTAGGATAAGGAGGATGGCGATGACGCAGTCGTATAAACATACCGGTTCTGGTAAACCACACCATCATAAATTGCAATGCCGCACGATCCAACAATTAACTTCTAGATTCGCGTCGGTGTGTCGCGTGTCGTTCGTACAAAGCTAATTTCACTTTCACGTCTCAATCACATCACGATAAAACGTCGTTAGTAAACTGCGAACTGGGAATTGTATCTTTTGTTTACGTAACAGATATTCATGTAATCCATCGCATTTGCTAACTTTAACTCTTTTCTTATTGATCTAGTAAAATATATCTCTCATCTCTTTCATTCTCGAAAAAACGGAGATAACATCTGTTTGCCTGATATAGTGTTAATATATATTTCATGATTCAAACGACAAAACATCTAATGACGTAGTAATAACCAGGTCATTCACATTTTTATGTAAATCTAAAAAAACTACATCGAAATGTCCACCAATATGCTTAGTGCCTATCCTCGAAATAAACATAAAATGTAACAAGAAATATGTAATTCCTTGTTAAGAAAAATTCGATGTAATATTAAATTGTGTTCTTGTTGGATAATACAGATTTAAAAGAATCTAAAACTAAATTAAAATATTTTTTGGATGGAAACGAATATATTTAAATAAATATAACAAAACAGATTTACATAATCACTAATGCTAATTATTACATAACAAAAAATATTGATTTATTAGTTAGTTAAATTAGAAATTATAAAAAAAATTAACGTATTTATACGATATACATATTAAAAAGATTTAGAAACAGATGTCGTTAAAAATGTTTAATTTTGTCAAACTAGACTAACCGGAAATTTTAAAGGACTTAAGCAACAGAAAGATAACAGAAAACTCTTTCGAAATGTAAAAGTTTCAAATTACTCGACATTGCGAATACGTTTAAAACCTAGGAAATGAGTTCCTTTGTAACAACACAATGTAAACAATGACAGTATTCTCATGAACCTTGCGAGTGTTGAGTTGAAGTTACTGGGTCGTCTCCAAGTGAACTTCCACGATGAACAATCCAGCGTTGTTGAGAAATAATTTTAAAACTACCCGATGTCGTGAGAAGTGAATTTATCGGAACAATACATAATGTGTTTCGTTATATGGTTGTCCTCACGCCTTTTAAAAGGTCGTACAATTTATTTCGTGTTTTTTTGTAATTCTATTGTCGAAAATTACAATCACGATTTGCTTAATGTTCCGTGGAAAAATGTATGTAAAAAGTATGTCATTACAATGCGGGATGATAACAACAAGGACTAAGTACGTGACAATCTAGTAAGGTAAGTTTTAAAATAGGAAGAAAAATAAAAGACAAAAGAAATACTTTTTTATTTATCACGATGTCGAAGTCATCTAAAGTAATCTTACGTCTTACTAATTGACAGGACTTTATCAGCTTCAGGTTCTTTGGGAAACCGAACATTTATTAAAACTTGCAGAAAATGACAAAAGATGGAAGCAAGAATTTGTTATTGCATTTATGACCAGTTACAAACCTTGTGTCGCCGTGACGAGTAGAAAGTGCATCGCGTGCCACGACAAACGGGCGCGACACACTCTTGCATAGTGAGGTCCGCAGGCTGGGCCTGACTGCGTCTTTGTTGCATACTAGGTAACCTTATTTGATCAAAATGCTCTCAAACGGTCGGGTTTATAACAAACATTTGTTGACGCATGTACTTATCACTGTAGCTATCAATTGCTGTGATATTTTTGTCTAAAGATCATTAATAATATAGTTGAAATTGTGTTAAAATGTTCTGTCTACTTATGGTACGTGAAAATAGCGTATAAACTGATCTTATGATGGTTTGTGGACTAAAACTGAACTAAGCATAAACGATTATATTTGTATATGTAATGCCCTCTGTAAAATTCAGCTTTTGCAGTTAGTAAGTTTACGATGGGATCGTCGAAATAACGTATTCCTGTTGCAAAAAGAAAGTAAAGATACTTTGTTTATTCTAATTACAGCTTTTTAATACATGATAATGTTTAATTAAGTCGCTTCTCAACATAAATCAGTATAGTTAGATACGCATCGGTAGAAAGTGAGGAAAACCGAAAGTTTCCCGGCGAGCGCTCTTACACCGTTTGACATAAAACATGTAAATCGTCGACTGCACTCATAAACGCTCGCAACTGCTGTAATAATTATTAATTGATGGATGCGTAATCACGACACAGTCATCAGTTTAACAAACTTTGATATAACATTTGTTTTTTTTATAACATAAGGTAGCAAACGAGCAAGCGGCCACCTGAATCCGCCAAAATGGCAAAGTGACCGCTGCCCATAGACATCCGTAATTGTAGATGCGTTGTCTACCCTTATCCGACGGAGTAGACGCACGTAAAGAGGACATTTCCCCTTCCTATGCATCTCCTCCGCCGTCAAATCCACTTCCCCTTCCCATCCTCCCCTTATAAGAAAAGGGTGGTCAAGAGAATGGGACTTAAATTAGGCCTCCGGCACTACACTCGTCAGACGAAACACGGAATTGCTTCCATTTTACGCCTGTCTTCTTAGTGGTCGTGGTATTACACCGGGTGAGCCGGCCTCTTCGTGCGAAGATGTTCAAGCGGGCACTACCAGTGTACTGTCATAACAGTAACAAAATACATCTTGGTTTAATAATGTACTTAGAAGCCTTATCCGCAGCATTAAATCCTTTAGAGACTTACGGAAATTAATTAGAAAGTTACCGCTACCCTGAGGCTTACGAAGCATCGCAAGTGCTTTCATCAAAAGCTTTTGTACAGGGTATCATTACATTATGCGGTAATATTTTTTATTTTTTTAACATTTGTTGAACACTTTTTTTTCTATCCTTACTAAATATTTCAACAGAACAGATTTTGCTAAAGTCGTAAGTTACGTCCGTAAAGATGTTTGTAGAATGATATAGGAAATATGTCGAATTTAGTTACAAAAATTGTAATTGTAACGTCACAATTTTTTCTAATCCAAATAATAACATAACATACGCTTCGTCGCTAGCTGTAACGTTAGTTTGAGACGTGACTGGATGTTTTGTTTTGAATTCGTTATAGATATAATTGGTAAACTATTTCTAAATTAAATTTAGGATTAAGTCTGAATGCATAACAATAACAATGCGATATCGGTGTATCGTAGCAATGATTCACCAGTATACCGCTACTCCGAGCTGCGCCGGCGCCAACCAAGCGAGGCCGGGCATGGTAAACGTTCGAGAAGTTGCGTTTCTAGATCTTTATACGTTTTCTTGGCCCAGGATTGAACATCCGAAACAATCGTATGAAAATGTAGACATCTCAACTTCATTTTAATAATTCTGATAACATATTTGTGTCCCGGGAATTTCGATAGTCTACGGTTACTATAAAATTGACAATAATACGTATTAAGTTTGCTATAGTTAACTGCAGCAGGTTTTTTACGTTCTGTCAATAGTTTGCTAATTAGGTGTAAATTATAAGACTTAAGATGTCGGTTCGTTAGTTCAATAATTACAAAATTAATGACGGTAGAACTAATCTTGCTAAACAGACTTTATCGGTACAAACTTTAGAAGACCATCGCTGCAATAAAGAATACCCCTGCATTTACTTTAGAAAATTGATTCGTTTTTGTTATGTGTATAAAAGCGGAACATGCAATTGTTAGCAATTATTGTGCCACGTTAATTGGTAACAAAAAGCGATAGAACGAGGTGATGGAATCGAATCAGTCCGGCAGCTCAGCCGCCTGTCATCCACGCTACGCTGCCGTTGATGCCTCAGCTATTTATGGCTCAATTAGAAAGAAATAACCAAGAACAGTAAGATTACAGACACCAAGCTGCGTGTAATATTTACTCGATTTACTGTTTTTCTTTAGGTGTGTTAGTTCTTCAGTATTTTTTTCAAAGTGATCTTTTCTTGACCCTGACAAAAATTTTATTGATTTAGACTGTTTGAGTAAAAACGTCTTTCTGATTTGAACTATATTATTACGCACAATCATGTTTTGCTTCAACTCGTCTATTGACACATTATCGTCACCGTTCGCTTCACAAACTAATATCGAAAACTCTCCAACTATCAGCAAATGTCGTGTCGCTATCAGGATAATCCCAACAATCTGACGAGTCCCGCGTTAATCGCCGATCATGCATGAACACCTATTATATTGTCTCGTCATCGCAAATCTATATGAATCGGTGATGTTTTTATGCATAACTGACGCAGCTAATGGACGTCATTATGTCGCGCGCCATCACGAATGTTACGACGATTATCGCTGGTTAGCTGAATCAATAAATCAATCAATATGTGATTGAAAAACCTAAATCCTTACTGTAGTATTAAACATTGCTATAAATAAAAAATATATACACGCACACTACTGTGCAAAGGTAAAAAAGAAATCGTGCCGAGGAAAATTGAATTTAATTGTTTTTTGCGAAATAGAAAGCGCAATGACCAATGATATGGGCTGCAATTAACCGTTAGGTCGATCAGTTTCACTTCTAATAGCGTATTGGTCTAGATTTTATAAAATCAAACAGTCTTGATACTTATTCGCACAATATTTACTTGTAAAATTATGATGCATGACGTTGATTTATATAGTCTCTTCATTTTGAATCTAGATGTTAAGATCTGCTTGCGTCCTATGTATTTCATGACACATAATTTACTCAATTAATGTATTGAATGCGCGGCGTCTTCAGGAGAGTGGCACGGAGCTGATGCCGCGGTCGCAGTACGGCACATTCTACGACGGCGAAGCCTACCTTGTGTACTCCTGCTCGCTGCCAGGACATCCGGCCGGCCCGGACGTCATCGTGAGTTACGACAAAACTTAACGTATTATTTTAATTATCTTACAAACTAGCAAAAGAAGCAGTTGATATTTTTACATGAATACAGAGACGGGAAGTAAAAGAGAACGGTGAGTGCAGCGAGCGACATATACACGCGTGGTGCGGCGAGCGC